CCTATCCGGTCCGCGGATTTATCCGTGGATAACGGATTTATCCGGCCCATGAAGTGCTCTATGCGCCACTATACAGGAAACGGCATATACCTACCTTCCCGGGAGGCAGTTCACGACCGTCACAGACTGAGAGTGCTGTCAGTCCGGTCTCCGACCGGGGCGTGGCCCGGTCTGTGTCCGGACTGGGTCCGGTCTGTGTCTGTCTGTTTCCGTCCGGTGTCCGCTCTGTGTCTGTCTGTGTCCGGTCTGTGTCCGCTCTGTGTCCGCTCTGTGTCTGTCTGTGTCTGGTCTGGGTCCGCGGTCTGTGTCCGTATGTGTCCGGACTGGGTCCGGTCTGTGTCTGCCTGTGTCCACTCTGTGTCCGCTCTGTGTCCGGTCTGTGTCTGCCTGTGTCCGGTCTGTGTCCGCTCTGTGTCCGGTGTGTGTCCGTCTGTGTCCGGTCTGTGTCCGTCTGTGTCCGGTCTGTGTCCGCTCTGTGTCCGGTCCGGTGTCCGGACTGGGTCCGGTCTGTGTCCGTATGTGTCCGGACTGGGTCCGGTCTGTGTCTGTCTGTGTCCGTCTGTGTCTGCCTGTGTCTGCCTGTGTCCGCTCTGTGTCCGGTCCGGTGTCCGGACTGGGTCCGGTCTGTGTCTGCCTGTGTCCAGTCTGTGTCCGCTCTGTGTCCGGTCTGTGTCTGCCTGTGTCCACTCTGTGTCCGCTCTGTGTCCGGTCTGTGTCTGCCTGTGTCCGGTCTGTGTCCGCTTTGTGTCCGGTGTGTGTCCGTCTGTATCCGGTCTGTGTCCGCTCTGTGTCCGGTGTGTGTCCGTCTGTGTCCGGTCTGTGTCCGCTCTGTGTCCGTTTGCAGGCGGAGGGTCTGTATATACGGCTCCAAGTCGCGCGGCTCGAACGCCGTCGACCACACGCCCCACGGCCAATAGCGGTGTCATGAGAGCGCCCGCGGTCCGCCGCGGCCCGGACCACACGGTAGCTCCTGTGCTGTGGGCGCCGCGGGCCGGTACCGTGCCGGCAGTCCCTCCTCGGCCTCTCCTCCCCCGCCCCATGTCCCATCCGTGAATCCATTGATCATCTGAAACTATGACCGCTTAGAGACTCAAAGATAATTGTCTCATTTGTTTTCATCGAAATAAACGTAATTTGCAGATGTTTCATATCACAGCTCACTTTCTTTTTACATGCGAGCAAGTAAATATACCTAAAGTATGTACGTACAAGCCTCTCGAACCCTAGCCTTTCGGCGTCGGTAAAGTAGCTCTCCCGGCAAAGAGTGCACGTCTGGGCACGACTGGCCTTTGGCCGGTGTCTGGCCGTCTCGGTGGCTGACGCGGCTGCAGTGGCAGTGGCAGTTCCCTGTGCAGGGCCGGTGAGCGGCCGGAAGCACCGTTACTGGGTGTGGGAGCGCGCAGCTGTCCCGGGACCGCCGCCTGTGGAGCCGCGACTCGTGCGTCAGACCGCTCCTCCACCGAGTCACAACCGCGGGGTGGGCGCGCAGTGCGGAGCCTGCCGGGGGAGCTGACACAATACACCGCTTCATGTGGCGTCTGGTGGGATCCACAGGGCCCGACTAGATCCGCGAGCATAGGATTAGGTGACTACAGCTGCAGATTTTATATGAGCATATACCGGAATATACCGGAATTAAAAAGACCAGCTAGAGGATGCGTGTGATCTGCACCCGCGGCGTAGAGCTATGTGCGGCACATTTTATTACATGGCTGATATAGGTATAACCAGGGTGTGGGATAATTTTGACCGTTAACCGCAATTTTCGCATTCAATTTCCTTCTGAACGATTACATATTTTTGTTAATGACACCATGACAACGGGAAATAATAAGCCGTGCGTGTCCATATCTTTTATCAATTTTCTTCTCATCGGTGACATACCTATGTATTTAGCACATTTATTAGCGAGTTACGGTGGGCAATGTAATGCATAAAGTGAAATAGGTGTGGGGTAGGGGAAATAGAAAAATACCTAATCTGTGACGCCCTTGTCGCCTTCGGTCAAATACATACCTCAACAAGTACCTATTATATTGTCCTCGGCTACGCGCCTCGGTCCTCGGACAATGAAGCATGTTGGTGATCTTCGCCCTCGGGCTACAGTGACGGCACATCGGGCTATATCCTTACTTTTGATCGCTTCGGCCCATCCAGTGTTCATACAATGTCGCATGGTCTTCCAATTGAAAAAAACATTCCGCTTGTGCTGTTTTGGTCATATCTATCGCCGAACTTCTTTGTGTTCTGTTCCACAGTGCAGTCGACCGCACAGAGTTGGTTGCACCGGCTGTTGCGGAAATGCTGGGTGTTTTTGCGTCTTCGGTAGCGACTGATTCACCACACTTTTCATTAGCGGGCTTATAAGCCCAGTGCTTAGATGCTTATCAAAGACTGGTGTAGGTTTGTTTTTTTCCATCGGAAGCGGATGTGAATTTAGTAGCTACGTTTTTCTCTGAGAGAATGTTAAATACGCTGCTCACCGCTCAGCATACCGGAACATTTCAACCCCTACCAAAGAATATGACTTATGAGCACGCGTGTCGTAACCGGAACTCAATGAAATGCCACAGAATAGACATGCATCTTTTTGACATGGAGCATGTTCAATATCTATAATGTCTTTCGCGTTCAAACCTAAACTTTCTTCACTGGAAACTTCCTATTCCAGTGAAGCTACATAGATATGGATTGGAAACGGACTTTTACTTACAAAACACCATGAATGACAATGCGAGAGACAAAGGAACTATATCGATGCCACGATTCGGCAGGGCCTCGACCTCGGTGGTCAAGTCCAAGTTTGAAGTTCTTATTGGCTGTTGTCAGGTTCACTGAAAACAGTCCAGCAGCATGGACCAGTGAAATTTGTAGATACGCGATGCGCTCTCAAACACTTTCAAGGCGAGATCTGACATAGATTGCACCGGATAGGATTTGAACGGAACAAGGGTTAGATGAGCCGTATAGATCACATCAGTCTGTGACTGGACGGACGGAACCAGACGGGACAGACAGACTGGTGTTACTGGACGGACGGAACCAGACGGGACAGACAGACTGGTGTTACTGGACGGACTGAATCAGACGGGACAGACAGACTGGTGTTACTGGACGGACGGAACCAGACGGGACAGACAGACTGGCTCAGACTGGACGGACGGAACCAGACGGGACAGACAGACTGGCTGAGACTGGACGGACGGAACCAGACGGGACAGACAGGCTGGCTGTTACTGGACGGACGGAACCAGACGGGACAGACAGGCTGGCTCAGACAATGGGACGGACGGCCCCGATGTGCGGTAGGTCCTCCAGTTTCACCAGTCATTATACCACTGACCACAGAGAAAACGACACAGTGATGGGACAGACGGGTGATTTTCCACATTTCGATATCCTGAGAGTGTGTCTAATTTGGTTCCCACCGCCCAGCGTTACCAATACCGTGCGACCAGTGACCGTGTCACATGCGAGACTGTAAAGATGATAGCATAGTCGTAAGCTAGCACGAGATGTCACGAGCCTTGTGCGCAGCCATGCTGAGGCAGTCGGTCGGCTGACGCAGGACGCGGTCTGTCTGTTATGAATGCCTGCGAACTACTGTTATATTGGTCGATGGCGTCAAAGCCTTGCTAGCCGTTACCGTTCTGGATTCCGGTCGGACAAAGCCGTGCTGGCTGCCGGCCCCCACCGTCCGGGAACCAGGGATCCGGAAGGTCGCCAGACGACCCCTGTCGGTCCGCACCGGCCGTACAGCCCCTGCTGGCCGTCACCGGCCGTATGTATGTTCAGCCCCTGCACTGGCTGTCACCGCGGTCGGACAAGCCCTGGGCCTGGCCGTCACCGGCCGGGGTCGGTGGTCGGTCCGCCGACCATGGTTTGCGCGTGCACGGCGCGATTTGAGGTGAACTAATTGCCTTCGCTCCGGCCGCATGACGAGCGGCGCCCAAGGTTTGGTTCACTCCAAGGCTACCGTTACCAGGTGCCGTGACGCCATTGACCAAACCCACAACCCTGTGCGCTATATCCTCAGTCTGATTCGATGGCTTCCTGTTGAACTTACGGTCATGTCCCCAGAACTAAAAGTTAAAACATTCAACAAATGTTTGGACTATATTCATGTCACGACGCCATAGATTATAATCCAATGACGCTATGTTGCGTTTGACAGAGCGTTCAAAACAAAACAAAAGCCCCATGAAAATAGCGCAAAGTGAGAACTGATGCAGTGTATATAAAGACGAACCGTATCTTAATCTGTTGAGTACTTGAGCAAGCAGCATAATACAAGCGTAATACACAAGTTTTAATGACCGGATCTCCTTGAAATCACCAATATAGAAAAGGGTAAATATTTATTCGTTGGCATTCGTTGCTATTCGATAATATAAAAAAGGATGAATTTTCGGTCACAGACTTTCTTCTGATCTAACTATGTCTTTGAAGTACAATGAAAACAAGATTCCTAGCGAACACATCTGCAAATAAAAGTTTCTTTGCCCTAAGCGTTTTCATTGTACTTCAAAAACATAGTTAGATCAGAAGAAGGTCCGTGACCGAAAATTCATTACTTTTTTATATTATCGAATAGCAACGAATACCAACGAATAACTATTTACCTTTTTCTATATTGGTGATTTCAAGGAGATCCGGTCATTAAAACTTGTGAAAGACGAACCGTGTCCAATTAAATAAACAGCGCACGCTTGGACTGCAGATACGTATACCGTGCCGACCAGCCATATGATTGGCGGCCCCTATCATCCCTCTCCCTAGATCTGACGGAGAGTCTGACTCTGGGACTGGGTGGCCCTCTGGGTCCTGTCTGACCCCCTGTCACTGTCCCTGCTGTGGCCCACAGAGCGCCTCACACGCGGGCCCGTACCTGGCTCACAGTGTCTGACACCCCATCCCTGTTGTCGCCCACAGAGCGCCTCACACGCGGGCCCGTACCTGGCTCACAGTGTCTGACACCCCATCCCTGCTGTCGCCCACAGAGCGCCTCACACGCGGGCCTGTACGGGGTGGACCTGGAGCCGGACCCGCGCTACCAGCGCTGCTGCTCCAACATCTTCCGTCCGGGCCGCGTGCTGCGCGACTGCTGCCTGGGCCTGGTGGTGCTGCTCGTCATCGCCGCCGTCATCGGCGCCATGTTCCTGCTCGTCTTCTTCGTGCTCAAAGGTGCGCCACTCCGCTGTACCGGCGGACGGTGGACGGTAGTCGGTGGTCGGTGGTCGGTGGACGGTAGTCGGTGGTCGGTGGGTGGCGGGCGGTGGATGGTGGACGGTGGCTAGTGACTAGTGATTCGCGGTCGACGGCTACTGGTTGTGCTGTTGCGTACCGGTGATGTGCCGTGCTGTCCGTTGTCGACTGTGCTGTGCTGCATGTTGCTGACCGGTGCTGTTGTTGATCGATGCTGTGTTGTTGTCGACTGTGCTGTGCTGCAGTTGCTGACCGGTGCTGTTGTTGATCGATGCTGTGCTGTTGTTGATCGATGCTGTGTTGTTGTCGACTGTGATGTGTTGTTGTCGGCTGTGCTATACTGTTGCTGACCGATGCTATGTTGTTGTCGACTGACTGCAGTCTGCCGTACAAAGACCAAACAATTACGCTAGGGTGACCTCTTACTTGAGGTAATTGACCTCTGACCTGACGTAATCGTGTTTCCCTTTGTGCGGCTATACACAGTAACAATGCAGCAACAATACAGCAGCTGCGTTGTTGCTGATAGGCGCTGTGTTATTGTCGACTGTTAGGTAGTTGTCGAGTGTGCTGTATTGTTGCTGACTGGCGCTGTGTTGTTGTTTGTGACTGTGGTGTGGTTGTCGACTGTGCTGTACTGTTGCTGATCGGTGCTGTGTTTTTGTTGCTGACCGGTGCTGTGCTGTTGTTGCTGTCCGGTGCCGTTGCCGACCGGTGTTGTTGCTGATTGTGCTGTACCTACTGTCTCTGACAGTGCTGCTGCTGTTGCTGACCGGTGTTGTTACTGCTGACTGCTATGATATCTCTGACTGTGCTGCTGCTGTTGCTGACCGGTGTTGTTACTGACTGCTGTACTGTCTCTGACTGTGCTGCTGCTGTTGCTGACCGGTGTTGTTGCTGATTGCTGTACTGTCTCTGACTGTGCTGCTGCTGATGCTGACTGCTGTGCTGTCTCTGACTGTGCTGCTGCTGTTGCCGACTGGTGTTGTTGCTGACTGCTGTACTGTATCTGACTGTGCTGCTGCTGTTGCTGACCGGTGTTGTTACTGACTGCTATGCTGTCTCTGACTGCTGCTGCTGTTGCTGACCGGTGTTGTTGCTGATTGCTGTGCTGCCTCTGACTGTGCTGCTGCTGTGGCTGACTGTGCTGTTGCTGACCGGTGTTGTGCTGTCGCAGATCTGACGCCCAGCGCCGAGTCGAGAGCGCCCAGCAACGCGTCTCAGAGCGGCTTGGACGGGCCGGAGCTCGATCAGAAGTCGCGCGGCAGGGGCGGTAGGTGCCAAATGTACCGCCCAGTGGCGGCCGCGGGTGCCATTTCTACCGTCGGCAGGTGTTGTACGTGTATGTATGTAGCGTGCGAGTGTGATATGTATCGGCGAGCGGCCGTGGCCAGAGTGCAGCGGCGCGGTCCGCGGAGGCGCCGGGCAGAGACCGGGGGTTGAATATGTATCAGGTGGTCATGGCTGCCTGTCGTCAATCGGCCGGCCTTCATTGATGGTATGCTAACGCTGCTCGGCGGAAAACCGGTACCAATGCGGCGGGCAGCAGCGAGTAGAGATTCAGTTACTTGAAGCACTGAATACTGAACGGTGAACAAAACCCGGTGATTTGTTATACGCATTTACTGACTGCTTCGCTCGGCTGGTTTGCAGGTCGACGTGAGGATGAGATCAACATCAACGACATTTACGGAGCCAATGACGTCGACTGGGACGATTTGGAGGACCACGGTAGGTGTGCAGACACAGTCTGAGACTGTGACACTGTGACACTGTGACACTGAGCACACCACAGACGGTAGCACAGGCCACGGTAGGTGAGACGGACACACTGTGACACTGTGCACGCCTGACGCCACAGACGGTAGCACAGGCCACGGTAAGTGTGACCTGTGCACCGGCTACCACGGGCGATATAATTGCCTGATTAGGATGACTTGCTACGCTTGTCGAAACATTGGTGCCTCAACGTGGACACTAACGTGACTACGATATCTAGTTATATCCCGCGCCAGGATGTAGCTTCCAGCCAACTTCGCCAAAGTCGGTGAAGGGCCTTTTTTACCACAGCCGATTATTTGGATTAGAGAAAGCTAGAAAGATGCAATGAAATTAATCGATAGCCTTCTATTCCTAAGGTCTCTACTAAGAATTTAATGCGAGCCCGTATAAGCTGAATTGCGATTCCGGCCAAAGATGGTCTTAAGAAGTAGGTCACAGGTCAAAGGTCAATGGTCATTTGTGTCAGTGTCATGACATTTTCAGGGTAGTTGTAAAATTGATCAATTCAAGGGTACTGAAAGTTTCGTTGCGATCGACTGTTTTTGCGCGAGCTATTCGCGAAAAACCAAAAGGGGTTCGTCCCGTTCGCCCCCTCAAGTGTTAGGGTTATAACTCAATCAATCGATTGTTAGAGGTCAGCTTATAAAATGTTTTCATGTGAAGGTCATGACCTGACCGAAGAAGGTCATGCTGCATATCAACCAAGGTATATAAACGAGCTGAACACATTCCAGCTGTTTGATAAACCAACAAACGATTGCCGTCCTTGACTCCTTTTCAGATCACGATGATGACGATGATCGGGGTGTGGCTCCAAAGCCGGAGCCGGAGCCGGAGCCAGAGCCGGAGACGGAGTCGGATCTGGACTCGACGGACCTGGAGTCGGATACCCACCCCATGTGGGACCAGGAGCTGCGGCTCTTCACTGATAGCACAGAGGCTGCAGAGCCCGAGCCCTCCACCACGGCGGAGCCCGAGCCCGAGCCCTCCACCACAGCGGAGCCGGAGCCCGAGCCCTCCACCACAGCGGAGCCGGAGCCCGAGCCCTCCACCACAGCGGAGCCGGAGCCGGAGCCAACAGTCACCAGTGAGTCGGAGCCAACAGCCACAGCAGAGCCGGAGCTTTCTGTCACGGCAGAGCCGGAGCCAACAGCCACGGCAGGGCCGGAGCTTACTGCCACGGCAGAGCCGGAGCTTACTGCCACGGCAGAGCCGGAGCCAACAGGCAGGCCGGAGGACCGGACTCCGGAGCCCACGGCGGCCGCTCCGGAACCCGCCGGCACCGATGACGTCATCCAGGAGCTGTACGACCTGTTCGAGACCGTCGAGTCGGAGCTATCGTCGACAGCCGGTCCGGACGCCGAGTCCGCGACTGTGGCGGCCGGCTCCGAGCCGGCAGCCGGCGCTCCCGAGGAGAGCCCCGTCGCCTCTGACCCGGCCTTCGAGGGCCGCGGGCTCGACGCGGGCGAGCCGGGCGCCACTGGAGACCCCGAGCAGCCCTCGGCTGACGCGCCGACCCCGGTCCCGGCCGAGGTGCCGACGGACCCGACGGCTGCAGCGGCGGGAGAGGGCGCTGCCGCCGAGCCGAGCCCGGACTCCGTCCCCACCGCCGCCGAGCCGACCCCTGACCCCACTCCCACCGCCGCCGGGCCGACCCCTGACCCCACTCCCACCGCCGCCACTGACACTGAGGGCAGTGTCGACCCCGCCACTGAGGACGTCTCTGCGACACCGGAGCCGGCCACACAGCCTCCCGTGGTGGCCGTCAGAGCGGAGACAGCGCCGCCGACGGAGCTGCCGGCGGCGAGCCCCTCCGGCGGTCTGAGCGTGGTGGCCGGACCGGACCTGGGCCCGGCCCGGCCCGCGCCCGGCGACAGCGGCGACACCTTCGACATCGTGGTGTCAGAGACTGCGGCGGGCGGCGCTGCGGTCGGAGGGGACGAGATCGTCACCAGCGCGGCGCTGCCCGAGTGGGCGATCACCACCGAGACGCCGCCGGCGGCCGGGGGCGCGGCGCAGCCGGGCTCGGGAGCCGACAGCACGGTACGTGCCCCTTCTGACATGTACAAACACCGGGAGTCCCCAAATAAACAGTCAGGTAGTTAAATACATCTGTATGTATGTACAACACTGTGGTGGTTCCTTATATAAAGAGAAGGCTATTATATAGCGGGAAACTTTGATTTCATCGAATGTTTCACGTTCCGTCTAACGGTGCACACCTTGAGCCATTTGTGTTCAAAGCTCCGTAATGGTTGATGAGCCCGGAGTGCCCGGTGCCCCCTCCGTGTACCTCGGGCTGACATCCCCCCCCCTCTGCAGGACCTGTCTGGTCTGCTCTCGGGCGACTCGCTGGCCGCTCTCGCCCGGGACGACATGCTCGACCTGATGGAGAAGCCGCCGACGCCGGAGGGCAGGTCGCTGGACTCGGCGCCCCTGCTGCAGGTGCTCGGCGGACGGCGGGAGCAGCTTCTGGCCGGTAAGGGGAGCCCCGCCGGCGGCTGGCGGGAGCAGCTTCTGGCCGGTAAGGGGAGCCCCGCCGGCGGACGGCGGGAGCAGCTTCTGGCCGGTAAGGGGAGCCCCGACGGCGGACGGCGGGAGCAGCTTCTGGCCGGTAAGGGGAGACCCGACGGCGGCTGGCGGGAGCAGCTTCTGGCCGGTAAGGGGAGACCCGACGGCGGCTGGCGGGAGCAGCTTCTGGCCGGTAAGGGGAGACCCGACGGCGGCTGGCGGGAGCAGCTTCTGGCCGGTAAGGGGAGCCCCGCCGGCGGACGGCGGGAGCAGCTTCTGGCCGGTAAGGGGAGCCCCGCCGGCGGCTGGCGGGAGCAGCTTCTGGCCGGTAAGGGGAGCCCCGCCGGCGGCTGGCGGGAGCAGCTTCTGGCCGGTAAGGGGAGCCCCGCCGGCGGCTGGCGGGAGCAGCTTCTGGCCGGTAAGGAGAGCCCCGCCGGCGGACGGCGGGAGCAGCTTCTGGCCGGTAAGGGGAGCCCCGCCGGCGGCTGGCGGGGCGTCACCGGCCGTAGTTCAAGGCTGACCAGGGACTCCGAGGGGCGTGCTGCGACGGCGCCGGTCTGAGAGCTCAGCTGCTGAAGTAGACCGATCTCGTGTCCCGTGTGTCTGTTATCAGGCGTCTACCCAGGGCCGCTGTGGTGGAAATGTCTTCTCTATCTGCTACTGATACCCTGTAGTAGCTCATAATGACGAGGCTATTTTCTCCATCTTTCACACAGCACCCATCTCGTAAGCTAGTTCAACTGTTCCTCCTTAACCTCTCTCAAGTCTCAAGTCACCAAAAAGTTTTCTTTTTGCACTACGGCAAGCTTTCAAATGATGCGATAACCCCATGTGAAATTATTTGACTTAAAAGCAGACTGACATAGCCCATGGGCCATGACACATTTGTCAGGCAGGGATATCCATAAATAGAGATTCTACTTCTCGGGTTGTGCGTGCGCGCTGCGCGGCGCGAGCAGTGACTGACGCGCGGTGGGGCGGTCCGTTGCAGGCCGCTGCTCAGCAGACGAGTTCTCCTGCGCCGCCGGCGGCGACTGCGTGCCCGGCGCGGTGCGCTGTGACGGCGCCGCCGACTGCGGCGACGGCAGCGACGAGCTGCTCTGTCCGCGGCAGCAGTGTGTGGCCGCGCAGTACAGGTGAGCGGCCCGTACCACACTGTGGCCCGTATCACAGTGGGCGGTATCACACAGTGGAAGGTATCACAATGACGGATACACGATGGCCGGTATCACACATTGACCGATAACAGTGGCCAATATCACACAGTAACCGGTATCGCACAGTGACTGATATCACACGTTGACCGATACACAGTACCTGATACCCAGTGACCTATACATAGTCACAGTGACCGATGACACACTGACCGGTATCACAGTGACCGGTATCACAGTGACCGGTATCACAGTGGCCTATACACGGTGACAGGTATCACAGTGGCCTATACAGTATACACTGTGACCGGTATCACAGTCACCGATACACGGTGACCGATACACGGTGACCGATACACGGTGACCGCCCAGTATCACACTGACCTATACACGGTGACCGGTATCACAGTGGTCTAGCCCTATACACGGTGACCCGTATCACGGTGACCGATACACGGTGACCGATACACGGTGACCGCCCAGTATCACAGTGGCCTGTAGTGTATACGGTGACTGGTACCACAGTTCCGGATGCTTGCAACGATGAGTGAGATGACGCGTGAGTCCGTGCCGCGACAGGACGTCCTGAACATACCCTGTGGCCTCCAGAGTCCAGGCTAATTTATCCGAGCACTCCTGTAGCAAATAGGTACAGTCTCTTGCTGCAGGTCGCACATCGGTGCGGTGAATCCATCAAGCCCGACCGAGGAAGGGGATGCTAAATTTGAGAGTCACCGAACCAATTGACATCCTCATCCATTCCCAGGCTAATTGGTTCGGTGACTTTCAAATGATAGCAGGCCCTTCCTCGGTCGGGCTTGATGGATCCACCGCACCGATGAGCGTTGTACTTTCAAGAAAGACTGTGCCTACATTATAATATACATTATATACATTATATATACATTTATATATTCATTATATATACATTACATTATTGCCTACATTATAAGAAAGCACATAGCGAACCCATCCAAGCTGTCATGAATAACATTTGCGTTAAGTCTCAGTATGAGACGCCGGAAAACGGCTCGTCGCCGAGTGACGTGGCCCGCGCTCAATAAGCAGTATATGTACTGGGGATATATCCGGTGACTGGAATAGGCCCAGAACATGGCTGTGCTTTCGGTTACGTTCGGTCAAATCACTGGGCACCGGAGCTCGACACTTCAGTCGGCCCGTTGACACAGAACGGCTGCGGTGGGTAAAATTAATGCCACTATAATTTATGTTATATGAATATTTGCAACTGCTATTTGATTGAGCTCTGGCAATTTGGGTTTAGGTAGGTACGTACACTGAACAGTTGTACTCACGAACCTTAAGTTTGTACATCAACTCCATAAGCATTGTATTATACAGTACCTTTCTTTCTGACTATTTGTATCCAAAATTCATTTGACGACCAGTGTGGCAGCCATTTTGGAGCAGGTCAATGGACCTATCCACCACAAAGGTCGATGGTCACATTCTCAGAAGTTGGGAAGCGGCACCGGGGCCGCGCCAGCTACTCTTAGCCTGCTCCAAGTCCCAATTTCAATCTCATGCATTGTTTACGAGCCCCGTGTTCGTTCGAAGCGCCCTTTCTGGTGGTCCACTCCGGCCGTGGCTCTGGGCGGCGCGTAGTCGCCGTCTCGGGCGCCTGGGTCGGTCCGAGCCGCCCGCCGCGCCGCCCCGCTCCGAGCCGCCCCGGCCCCGCTCCGAGCCGCCCGGTCTGAGCCGCTCGCTGAGACGCCACACGGAGCGGCGCCGTCATCCCACAGGCCCAGCCGAGGATTTGACGGATCAGCGAACAATTCCGACCGGCCGCCGGCAGCCTGCACACGGATTTCACGCGGACCGCCGGAGGATCTGCGGCGAGAACTGCCGGCGCGATCCGCGGGGTCGGGGTACCGGATGATACAGGAAGGAGCACTATATGGCGCTGCGGTCTGCCCAAGGGCCCCCTTGAGACGGCCAGTAACTTATTGGACCACCGTTCACCGCCTGCGTCAGCCGGCTGCTGTCGTATATCGTGTCATCCCGCCGGGCCGCAGACCAGCGACACACAGACAATATCAGCCGCAGCGCGCGCTGCAGATGTAGACGGGAGCAGCAGCAACGCATAGGCAATATCAGTGGCAGCGGGGCATATACAGGAGCTGGGGCTGGCACAGATTTTTGAAAATTAGAAAATTGAATAGGATATGTAGAGGATTTCTCATACTGTAGGCCTAGTAATTAGCATTAAACGTTCAGTGCCAACAAATACGGATGGATTAAAGGGACCCTCCCACCTTAACATTAGATTTGCGTTGAGATAGCCAAAATGGGGTCCCTGGCTCACAATTACCGATTTCGGCACTCACAACATCGAGAAATGCCTTAAATCGGAAATATTGAATTTCAAAATTGCAGCATTTTGATTCAGAGGGGCTAATGCATAGGAATACCCCTCTGAATGTGTGACGTCAGCGCAGATATCTAACGATTTTTAAATGTTTGACTAAAACGTTTTGTAGCACGCGGTGTTATATGCTGCTTTGCGCGCAACAAGTGCCGCACTTTCAGCTGCCAAACTATTGCTTCCAAATAAAGTCGCTAGGAACAGCGGAGATCCCAAAAAGTAAACAAAAGTAAAAGTCTAATATCTTGAAAAGCGGTGAATATTTTTCGGTGAAATTTGGTAGATATTCGTTTTCGCTCTTTCTGAACCGAGCGACATCACTTTCATGCCAATTCATAAACTTTTTTGAAGGTGGGAGGGTCCCTTTAATGCACATCGGTAATTGTATTGCTGTTCGCACCACATCTCTCTGTCGATGGGGAGAGGGGCCGGAGAGAGGGCGGAGGGAGGAGAGAGGGCGGAGGGCGGCAGAGGTGAGGTGCCCGGCCCAGTCCATCAGGTACCACGTCGGGGCGCCATCGATCGCCGCCCGGCCTGCCCGGAGCCGTGTTGACGCCCGGCGCAGCCAGCGCTAACTGAATTAGCGATAATCACCGGGGAATAGAGCGCACCCCGTCCGCGCCGCGCCCCCCGCCTCAGCGACGACAAATACCCTGAGACGCTTTTTTCTGTATTAGCAATATTGACAAGGGTGTCAGCTATGTGCAATATGTATTGTGCATGCCTATTTGCAGATTCTCCTTCTCGTCGACTAAAAATTGCAAGGGATGAATGAAGGGATCTAGACGTGACTGTGTTCATTGGGTACGTTGGCGTTTTCGTCAAATACTATCTCAATTAACGGTAATGATGCATTTAATGTCCGTGGGTTAGGAATTGTTTATTCGTGCTCAACTTAGCAACATGGTTTGATGGATGAATGCCAACTTAATTTAAAATTCGATGAACAAATGTAGTGGGCAGCGGCCTTCCTTACTACTGACCCTTCAAGTGTTTTTCTCTCTCACTGGAGCTCGGACAGTTTCGGTGGAGCGAGCGGTTCTGCAGTATTTGCAGTATTTCTCGCTGGTAGATTGATTGGGCAGTGGTTAAGTCCCACAGCCATTCAGAGCTCCCTCCCTACAAATCTGATAAAGGAGTGCAGACTTCGTGGAATCTACAACTCCTACGGGTCAATCCGCGTGTGCCAGAACCATTTCCCACGTGAAATGACTTCACAATCCGGTCAGATGAGTTGGGTTCACGCCAAGACCTCGCAAATGAATTCCACTGAAAACGGCGGAAGCCTTTGGGGCGAGACGAGCGATGTTGTCCTTACTATACAGAAGCATGTGTATGTGTGTGTCGTTGTTAGTGCCCTCTGACCTTAGGGTACGGAGAGGGGTGGAAGCGTTATGGAAATGTCTATTCATGTGCATATGGTTTCGGACGTTTTCATATTTCCTTCGTCGACTTATGATAGTGAGATCACGTGTCGTAAACGATCTGACCTGAGGATAATAGATATTTAGGAAAATCCAACACGTATGTATACCTACCTAAGCCGTAGGGTCTTAGGAGTCCGTCAATTCCTTAGTTGAAATCTCCCTGCAAGAAATATTCCAGCATTGGCAGCTTGGCAAATCTACGACTTATTTAGACCGGTCAGAGGGAGGTGTACTGATGACGGCATAGGCAAGAATCAGGTGATCTGACAGCGCTGCCCCGGGGCGGACCGACCCCCGCACTGCCCCGGGGCCGGACCGACCCCCGCACTGCCCCGGGCCGGACTGACCCCCGCACTGTCGCCGGGGCCGGACCGACCAAGGCGCTGCCCCGGGGCGGACCGACCCCCGCACTGCCCCGGGGGCCGGACCGCCCCCCCCCGCACTGCCCCGGGGCGGACCGACCCGCCCCCGGGGTCAGCGCCGGTCAAACACGGCCCGGTCAGACTGCCCGCGGACGCCGCCTCTCCGATCGTTTGCCGCACGGGCCGATTGGTAAACATTGACCATCGCCCCGGGGTGCGCGGCTGTCCGCCCCAGGCTCGGCCGCGTGACGTCATAGGGCGCTGTGTGACGTCACAGAGTCTGACCGGCGCGCGTCCGCGAGTGGTGGGTCGACTCTGTCCGCCCCAGTGGCTCCGGCCGCTTCTTTCCGACGGTGTATACTGTATACTGTATGTATTGGGGCAGAATACTGGCTGGCTGGCTAGCGGCAGGACTGGGACGGCGGAGGGCGGAGGACTGAGAGTCTGGGACAGCTGGACTGGGACAGCTGACTGGGACGGCAGAACTGGGAAGGCGGACGGTGGAGGCCAAGGACACTGGTCGGGAGGAGGTCTTTCTTTCTCCCACCGTTTAGGATACGCTGCTCTAAACCAAAAGACGCCCAACCCTGGCATGTGGTTGAACTATTCCCAGTCCAATGTCCTCAAAGTGGCAATAAATAGCAAAACAAAAAGAAAATGAAAATTGAAAAGAACGATTGGAACACAAGCTGAAAACTTGTTTTGTGTGGCCAATAACCAGCACTTAGCGCGTTAATAACTAATGAGCAATCCGCTGTCGCGCAGAGTTCTGGAGGGTCACCGACACCGTCGTGGCTGGGCTGCCACAGCACTCCTGCGAGACGCGGGTCCGGCGGTGGGTCGGCTACTCACACTGATTGCCTGTCCAAGTTGGATCGTCCGTTATCGCAGCGATTAATGCAGCGAACTCCGGTGCCTAATTTAACCGGCATATCCCGGTCCCACGTGTTTTTTCTTTCTTTGAGCGACTCGACTAGTGCCTGCCTTCCGTGAGTTGTCCTTCGGGCGGTGGTTGTCAGAGAGTGGGCTCGTCTCCCGGCCGCGGCTCTGCTCGGTCCGTCATAGTGTTTCTCTGATCGTGGCGGCGTCTAGTGAGGACGTGCCCGGCATCTGGGCGCCGCGGAGCTGCGGGGCGCGCCGGCCGGACACGAGCGGCCAACTTTGGCGGCAACTGTCCACCCAGTGCGCGCCGCCGCTCTCAGAGGCAAACACGGCAATCAGGCCGAGAGCCCGGCCACTCTTGATGTCCCAATAAAGAGCCGGACCGAGTGGGATGGCCGCACCTGCCGGCCGTGCCGCCGCAGCGCGACCCACAGGTGGCTGGCGGGGCTGGGCGCGGACGGGCTCGGAGTCCCGGGGCTGAGCGCCGACGGGCTCGGAGTCCCGGGGCTGAGTGCGGACGGGCTCGGAGTCCCGGGGCTGAGCGCGGACGGCTCGGAGTCCCGGGGCTGAGCGCGGACGGCTCGGAGTCCCGGGGCTGAGCGCGGACGGCTCGGAGTCCCGGGGCTGAGCGCGGACGGCTCGGAGTCCCGGGTACAGGTAGCTGGCGGGGCTGAGCGCGGACAATTCCGCGCTTTTGCATGGCTGTGCTTCACGACAACATATGTGTGTTTATACATTGTTTCTTTGCAAAAATGAATCTCAGCGAGCTGAAAATATTTTTCACTATGGCGTCGCTAGTGTAACACCGTAAACAGTCTTCAACTAAGAAGACAGCCTTTAAATAATTGCTGGAATAATCCTCACGGCTTAAATCACCGCACTCAGCATTCCTAGTGGCTGTCTGCTGTGTGAGTCTGTGAATGTTCACATTTGAAGTGGTTCTTCAATCACGCTATGTGTGGCGTGGAAGACGTAAACGGCTGCTGTGGGGAAGTCGGCGGAGCTATTCCCCAGACGGCCGGCTCGTCTCGTATGTTGCTTTGGACTGCCGGTTTCTCCGAGGAGTGGCCGACATGGCTGCCGGCGCGGCGCCGCGCTGCATTCACGGGACTCTCCGGTGACGGGGGAGTGCCCGGAGCCGCTGTAATACGGGACTCTCCGGGTGACCGGGGGAGTGCCCGGAGCCGATGTTATACGGGACTCGCCGGGTGACCGGGGGAGTGCCCGGAGCCGTTATTATACGGGACTCTCCGGGTGACCGGGGGAGTGCCCGGAGCCGCTGTTATACGGGACTCGGAGTGCCCGGAGCCGCTGTAATACGGGACTCGCCGGGTGACGGGGGGAGTGCCCGGAGCCGCTGTAATACGGGACTCGCCGGGTGACCACGCTGGTCGTCACCGATGGCTGTCAGCTGTGTGCTTACTGTGTGGACTGTGGAACGGTTAGTGGACAAATAAAGGTCCGTGGCTCAGTGTCAATATACGAGCACCTCGCGGAGTCTGATTGAGCCCGAGCGTAACTATTGCTGTTAACCAGTCCATTACTGTATTTGGGAATCGAAAATTCAATGAACGCCAAACTCGTACAAAGCTGGATATCTTTTATGGTTTTGTCGATTCAATATTGCGCTGAAAGCACGCTGCCTCCTAAAATACACAAAGTATTTGTGCATACGTAACACCGTTGGACACACTGGGGCGCTCCACGACACGTTCTGACGGGGTGGGCGCTGAACGGGAGCCTGATCAGACGGCCACGATACCCATACCCATACCCATACCCATACCCATACCCATACCCATTCTCTTCCCTACACGAAGGCCTTCCCCGTCCGACCCGCGCCGCTGGCTCCGCTGACCGGCAGCGTTAGCTCCACTGACCGGCAGCCGCTGGCTCCGCTGACAGGCAGCCGCTGGCTCCGCTGATCGGCAGTTGTTGCCGCTGGCTCCACTGACCGTCTCTGGTACCGTTTTCAGATGCGCCGGCCCTGCTACTGTGTGTGTGGACATCAGCAGTCTGTGCGACGGCGTCCCGGACTGTCCTGAGCAGGAGGACGAACTCGACTGTCCAGTCACCGAGACAGTCACCGAGACAGTCACCGAGACCGGCACCGAGACCGGCCCTGAGTCTGTCACCGAGACCGTCACCGAGACCGGCACCGAGACCGGCCCTGAGTCTGTCACCGAGACCGTCACCGAGACCGCCGGTAAGAACGCGACTGTCCGTCACCGATAATTATGGTTGGAAAGTGACTGTTCCGTCACCGATACTGATCAGTAGAACGTGACTGTCCGTCACCGATACCGATAGAAGGTGACTGTCCGACGTCCGTCACCGATACTGATAGCACATGACTGTCCGTCACCGACACCGATAGTAACAATGCTTCCTTAAGTGTCGATGATATGTATCTACGGACTCTGTGATTGTCGTCGGTTAAATTGTAATGGGGATGAAGGTCTAACTAATCATTTAATAACGGGGGATAGCGCACTGTAGTCAATGTTGACAGACCGGATCATTCGCCATTGGCCCCGGCCGTCCAAGTACTGGGCCAGAGTGGCCGCCGGCTGTCCTGTCCTGTCCTGGGTTTTTATCCACCCCTCAGGTTTTTCGGAAATATCTTCGATACGGCTGAGTCTAGGATGCTGAAATTTTTTGACTTTTCTAGAACTAAACCGGGAACATACCTACCCTGAAAATTTAATACCTTTATCATACCTTCATCAGGGGCGGCTCCAAGGCATCGGGAATTGGGAGGTCCTATTCGTGAAGTGAGTCATTTGGGTGAAGATAACGATGCTGGTGCATTATAGCTGTAGGTATTCATTCTGCAGGTAGATCAACACTATTTTTAGGTATTACAGGTTCAAAGTGAACAAGAGATGGATCATAGGTGGTTCCAGGAAAAAAGAAAGGGAGGTCGATTTCACCTCCCAACTTCGGTACCCTGACGCCGCCTATGAATTACCAATTAACTTTTAGTCATTCGATCACACATTTTTTGTAACATCATAAGACCATTGCCTATCTATTGGTGATGCAGCAACGAGAAGCCCGAATTATTATGTAGTTGTGCCTCCCAAATACATTTAGCTGTAGGTATCCGCCTATGCTTTTTGAAATGCCCATTTTTATAAAAACATGTTGATTTCCAGTTCATTTTGCATGAATTGGCAGTAGATGCGTCAAAATTGGTTGAAAACATGGCCGTGGTGAGTAGTTAAAAAGTATCTAAAATTTGCAGTTTTTACCCCCTACTGCCCCCTATTTGCTCTTTTGGGATTTTCCTTTTTTCAAAATGAAGATCACGTTGAGGGGAATCGAAAACCGTTTGAATTTTGAAAATCAGCTAGTTAGATCTCGATTCTCGAGATATCAAGGTTGGTCCTAAACAACGCCCACCCCCTGCCACTAATAGGGGTAGCCAGGAGCCTGCCACTAAAAGGATTAATCTTATTCATGTCATGTCCTGTTCGGGGGCAGATAAGAGCCGGTAGCCGTCACTCTATGGCTCTGAAGCGCAGTGCCGCCGCCCAACTTTGACTTGGCGTCCATATCTGCAGCCCGAGCGGGCGGCACCGGTCCCACGCGCTGCTCTTCAGTAAACGTGCCCGGGCCGGTGAGCGAGCTCCCCAGAGCCGCCGGAAGCGCTCGATCACGGCGGCGGCCGATCACGACGTCCGAGACCGACGGGCGCCCCGGGCCGCCCCGCCGAGTAGCGGCCCGTAACGGGGCGCGCCGCGGCTCGCCACCGCCGCGCCATGCATCGCGACTCGAATCGGGGCGCGGCCGCGGCAGTCGTGACGCGGCACGGTGACCGTGACGCCCACGGGAGCCGTGAGGCTATGCGCTGAGAAGGGTCATCGCCGCACTGCCCGAAACGCGCCCTCAGTTTTAGTCCGTAAAGTGTGCCCAATGGTGGTTGAAGTGTGCCGGTTTGGAACGGTTAGATCATATCAATTTACCGGATTACCGGGCATCGGTTACCGGATTACCGGAAAAACACAGTATGAAGCTCTGATTGATACGCTATGAATTATAATGGAACTTGGAGGGGAGAAGTGAAGTTTTTGAAGAGCACCCGTAGGTAAATTGAAAGTGAAAATATCGACATAAATTGAGAAAATCGTTTCGAGGTTATAAGCAGTCAACCTGTGGGACGCCGGATCATTTTCGAGCCAGACCAGTGGGCGTTGGAGCGGCCGTCGTAAGCCAGCTGCCGCGGCGCCGGTTGAAGCGAATCCCCCGTTTGCGCTTATGACGCCGCCGAGCCGGGCTGACCTTCATGCGGCGACCCCGCCGCGCCGCAGGGCCGGCGCCTCTCAGCCCGCCAGTCAGCGAACGCCCGCAGGATGTGACACGACGTATAAATGACGTATAAATCAATAAGGCATTCAACCATGTGGACGTGAACGCCATAGCTCAATGTGCAACATACAAACAGCTGTCTGCCCTCCGGTCGTGATTTACGCCGCTATATTTATTGACTGAATTAAATTCACAATGAGACAGTGAGACACCAGCAAGATGCGCAATAACATAGAATTTCGCCTCCATTTGTAATTCGACTGAACCTAAGGAACACATGCAGGCGATCTGCCTCCGGTAACGGAAATGTTGAAAGTTGTTGATGCCTACTTTTGAAAGCTGGCCAATCAATCACTGCCTGTTTATAGAGGTGGTGAAATAAAACAAAACCAATGCATGCATTTCTTGTAATAATTCGTCTACAGTAAGAATATTTGGTGAGGAGTGGGCTGTGTCACCGCTCGCCGCCTCTCCACTCTTCCTCCTCCCTCCCTCTCCCTCTCCCTCTCCCTCTCCCTCTCCCTCTCCCTCTCCCTCTCCCTCTCCCTCTCCCTCTCCCTCTCCCTCCCTCCCTCTCCCTCTCCCTCCCTCCCTCTCCCTCTCCCTCTCCCTCTCCCTCTCCCTCCCTCCCTCCCTCTCCCTCTCCCTCTCCCTCCCTCCCTCCCTCTCCCTCTCCCTCTCCCTCTCCCTCTCCCTCTCCCTCTCCCTCTCCCTCTCCCTCTCCCTCTCCCTCTCCCTCTCCCTCCCTCTCCCTCTCCCTCCCTCCCTGCTCTCTCTCCGCAGCGCCTCGGGGCCGATCGGGGTCCGAGCTCGGATCGGACCATTGCCTCCGGGAGTCGGTTTGCCGTCGCCGCGCCGAGCACTCCGTGTAGCCGGCGCCGCGGTGCTCCGGCAGCCGCCATTCAGCCGTTTTTGCCGCGCGCTGCCGAGCTCTTCCAATTTCCCGGCCGCTCCATTCTCGGTCAGGCGGTGGCGCGACGCCAGTGCCACCTGTGGCTGACCCTGGGAGGCGGCCGGGCCGGGACTGCGAGCCGCTGCACACAGGGCCGATCGCCAGGTCTAGCACGACATGGGCAAAAAAATCGAACTTTGTGGATGTGCAATGAAACCTATACCAATTTGTTCAGAAATGATCATACTACACTGCTGTGGTCTTTGTTTTCCAAAACAATTGCTATTTCATGGCGAAAACTCAGCTTAAACACGAACTTCGGAATCGTTTGGACCGAACTCGTCCCCCGCACTCTTCGACAACGTATCTTTGATCCGCGAAAACAATCACAATTTGAGGAGGAATTCCACATTTATATACATCAAACGATAGCTCCGGGTCTGCAGAACACACATAACCACATCAAAATGGCGAACTCTTACTTGGTTATGATGTATTGGCACCGCAAAGATTTAAAGACGAAAATATAATTTCACATAATTGATGTCACACACAAATAGACTTTTAAAAAAAGTACCGCAGAGTACCGCTTCGAAAATCTCGCTACATGTCAATGATTCATTGCACTACAAGATCCAACAGTCATTTTCTGCGACTTTTTGCGACTTTGGATGTAGCAGCCAAACATCAACCCGCGCCGGACCGGTGCTCGGCGTCAAACGCGCCGGGCCGGGAGGTGTTGATTGAACACTCCCCTTCTAACTCGGCTCTTGGGCCACATAGCGATACGTAGTAAGTGGCATTCGAAAGAGCGCCCGAAATTCCAGATGGAGTAATTAGTCATTTCTAGGTCAGGTCAAAGGTCACGTCACCAGAGGTCATCAAAGGTAAAATGTTGCATTTTTCAACACTTATCGAAAACCGGCTCTTACCTCGGGGACCAATAGAGCTACATCGTCGCGGAAAAGTGCATTCAATTGCTCTTTTAGCGGTCTTTCTGAAATAAGCCCTCAGATTTGGCTTAACCCTCGCTCCTAGTGGTGTTTTTCCAGCCGCGAACGTATAGAAGGGGCCCGCCGTTTCGCCCTTCGACCCCCGCCGTTTCGCCCCTGATCGAGCTATAGAGCTTCGCAGAAAAGACGAGCGTGTTGCCCGTGACAAGAGGAAGCTGATGATACCCAATTGTAAGGTCCTAGGTCATCGGTTGACCTTCCAGGTCAGGTCAATGACCCAAAAGTCGGGAAAATCGGGACCTGTTAGAACGTCGTAAAGGGTGGCTGCTATGGGTTTTTTGGGTGCTGATCACGAATATAATATTATTTACGAGCATAGATGATGTCTTCATACATTAAGGCCAGGTCGGGTCAGGTCAGGTCAGGTCAACTAGTAAGGGTTTTGCCGGGTATTTGCAGTAGGTGGCAACCGCCTCTGACAGCTTTGTAACATGTTACGAATGCACCAAAACTACTTCGTAAATGTTCAAATGGTTGCTAGATTCGAATTCAGCTAAAAAACTAGCCTAGAAACATGTAAAACTCGAAAAAGTGAACCAAGGTCATCAAAGGTCAATGACCTTACCTGACCTTCTGGTGACCTTGACACCCACCCTAATGCATGGGAGCAACATAATATCCCATGTTTGAACGCTTTAAACCAAGAAAAGACTGCAAACCCGCGGCTAATGCGAGCCCACATACGCTGAATCGCGATTCCGGCCAAACATGGTCTCGAAAGAAGGTCACAGGTCAAAGATCATTAAGGTCAGGGTCATGAAATTTTCAAGTTAGCTGTAAAAGTAGTCGTCGCGAGGATACTGAAAGTTTCGTTGCGATCGGCCGCTTTTTACGCGAATTACTCGCGAAAAACCAAGGGTTCCGTTCGAAGATTCAGGCCCTGTCGCGCTAGAATGGCATATCGGCCCACTGTGCGCTGGCTGCGGCTGGAGACGGATGGTGCGTCTGCAGGTCGGCCGGTACCTGGCTGCAGCCGGCGCTAGGCGCCCG